CATTCAGTAAGTGCACTATACTTTATTCAGTTTGGGAGAATCTGAGTTCAAAGCTTATTATATATAATATGTTCAACGCAGGACTCTGGATAAGACTATTTCAAATTTAGAGATGGAATTAGCTGCTGCAAGGGCAGCACAGGAGTCCATACTAAGTGGTTCTCCTGTATCAGATGACTTAAAGAAGCCCCAGTCATCTGGAAAGAGAAGATATTTGATGGTTATAGGAATTAATACTGCTTTTAGTAGTCGGAAGAGACGAGATTCAGTACGTGCCACGTGGATGCCACAAGGTTCATGGATTGATTCCTTGATTTCTTACCCGTTGTTTGATGTGCATCTATGCTATTCCTATGTTGGAAAAGTGTTCTAATGACTGCTCAATTCTAAAATTATGGATAACAGGTGAGAAAAGGAAGAAGTTGGAGGAAGAAAAGGGCATTATCATCCGCTTTGTCATTGGACATAGGTGAGAATTTAATATTATTATGATTGTCATCATTATTATTATCATCATATTGTTGTTATTATTTTGACAAAGCTGCAATAGCTGACCATCCAATTTAGCTTGAGCTCATTGTTCTATATGCAAAAACTAGAACCTCATTTCTGGACTCTGGGCCTGCTTTTTGGTTGATCATGGTCTCACATGCAATTTGCTAGTCAGTACTTCTTTTTTATTTATCAATTACAGAACCATGATTAATGCTTTAACTTTAGACTGTTGTAACTGACGCTTCACAAGCTTATATAGTTATATTCACATTAATTGAGTGATGAAAGGTATTGTTAGTTGGAGTTGCAGTTAAAATATGTTTTGCTGTTAGGACACATGTACTATCTTGATCTTAACCAAGGGGATGTTTGAAGAGCCTTGAAGTGTAGGTTTGCACAAGAATGCATAAAGATCATGTCTTGGATGTCATGGAAGGTTGTTTTAATTTCCCTAGTATGATGTAAGGTTATCATTCAATTTCTTTTCTTCTTTTTATTTTTTGACTTTTTATACTACATCAACAGCTTCTATAGTGAAGCAAGCTGATGATGTTGCAAGCATTTCAGTAATGCATATGCTGATTTTCTCTTGTCCAGATCAAAGGATAATCTTACTTTCCTAGGGACAGTACCTTCTTATTGGCCATCGGCATTAGAGCCTGTAGCATGAGCTTTGCCGTCTAGAAATCTCAGACTGCATATATGTTGCTCAATCATACATAAAATAGTCCACTGATCTACTTTTTTTTCTCTTAATTATTGAAGTGCTACTTCAGGAGGGATTTTGGACCGAGCTGTTGAAGCAGAGGACAGAAAGCATGGAGATATCATGAAACTGGTAATGCTTTAATCTTATACTTTTTCTACTATGACAGTCACTAATTGTAATTTGATCTGTTATCTTCATAGAAAATTTTCTATAACGCACATATATTTATATATTTGCGGGAGAAGGAAAAGAATCACGTACTTGTATGTCTGCTTTTCTGCTATTTGATCAGGATCATGTTGAAGGATACCTTGAACTGTCAGCCAAGACAAAGATCTATTTCGCTACTGCAGTTTCTTTGTGGGATGCAGATTTTTATGTCAAAGTCGATGATGATGTCCATGTAAATATAGGTAAGTTAATATTTTCTCCAAGTTGTTTTGTGAATGGATATATATAATTAAATAGTTATAATTAATTCGGAATTTCTTTCTTTTTTTTTTTGACAATTAAAAAGTTACAATATAATTAGTAGGTCTAGAATCAATTTTTCATTGCCAATCATGCAATCACTCAATTCCTCAAATTTATTTTCCTTTCAAAGCATATTGAAGAACTTCTCTTAACAATCAAAAGACCTGCTCTCGTTGAGGGTAGATCTTGCCTGTTCCTGAATTAGCAAAATTATGAATTTCAGTGTAAGTATAATTTAGTGGTTGGTGCGTGTAATAATTTGGCAGCAACACTGGGAGAAACTCTTGTTAGACACCGATCAAAGCCACGGGTATATATTGGATGCATGAAGTCCGGTCCTGTCCTTTCTCAAAAGTAAGCTAGATTTCCTGACCTCTTTTCCCCTGGAAATGATGTATTTTGTTTAAGGAACCCCCAGCAAAATATGAAATAAGAAATAAATTTTGTTTTTGTAACTGCAAATTTTTTTGGAGCAGAGGAGTTCGGTATCATGAACCTGAGTATTGGAAATTTGGTGAGGCTGGAAATAGGTATTTCCGTCATGCTACTGGACAGCTATATGCCATTTCAAAGGATCTGGCTACTTATATATCTATAAATCAGTAAGATCCCATTTTCTTTGTTCGAAATATGAGATGGAAGCTCATGTATGGATTCAATTGTTGACTATATCAATTCACGATGTTTATTGTGCAAATAATTATTTCAGCATGTCCTACACAAGTATGCCAATGAGATGTTTCGCTGGGATCTTGGTTTATTGGGCTTGATGCGGAGCATATTGATGACAGGAGACTATGTTGTGGCACCCCACCTGGTAGTTCCTGAATTTCTGGGAATTTGAGATATGAGATTGTTGTCAAGTAATATCTGAAAA